AAATTGCTCTTACTCCTTTCCTGTGTCCAAGATTAAGGACTTTTTTAGAGCCTAACCCTAGGTAAAACACAGGGGGTGTTATGGAGGTGGTTATGGCTGTGAGGAGCGAATGGCCTTACTGAGTATCACATCCAACCTAACTCCTCCCAAAAGGACAGAACAACAAAGGCTGAGCTGGAACATGATTTGCCCAAGCATTTGTCCAACCTCCTGAGATGCACTTGGCACCCTGCGGTCTGGTGGAGATGCTTGTGTCCTCCCATTCCGGGAACATTCAGCCTGCTGTGACAAGGAAGCATGGGGTAACATAGCATATTTGACCCAGATCTCAAGATATACTAACTACTATTTAGATCCCCTGCAGCAGGAGGTGAGAGAAATCACCTAAGAGAAGATGGGCTTTATCAGAGGATTAATTTAAAGCAGCTTGGGACAGAGGAAGAGAGATGGGCCAAAATCAAAACCACAGAGAAAATTCAGTATTAGGCCTAACCTTTGCAGCTGAGACCCATTTCCAGAAAGATGTTCAGCCCTGGCTGGAATATGACTGTTTCTAAGCATGGCCTGATTACGAGAAGTCTCAAGAGCCTCTGGTTTCCACTGACCTTCTGAAGATCAGGATCTCTGGCAGCCCTGTGCTAGAGCATTGTCTCTCTCACATGGCTATGGACCAGGTCTTGATATCTTCACTTCAGTAAAACCCTTCCCTGAAGACAGTGGATGTTTTTTCCTGAGGAAAAAATGACAAAGATGAATTGAGTTCCCAGGGCTCAGCCTAAGGAGGAAATGCCCAAATATGAAATGAGGTTGGACTCTTCAGGTCCTACGAGAACTTCATTGGAGAAGTATTTTCTGAGTGACCTCCTGTCTTCCATATAGAAAGTTGGAGGGGTTTTGCTACAACATTTAGAGTCCGAGAAATCACAGTGGCTCTTTCCAGAGGTAGAATGGTCTTTTTATTCACTGCACACACAGAGAATCAATCGGTTTTACAAAATCAGCTCCTGCCCAGAGCAGCAAGGTCTGGGTACGCAGCAGAAAGAGAGCTTCTGCTCTTCTCTTCATGCCCCATGGACATCCCCAGGGGACAGTGGAGCTAATATGCACAAGTGCTGTCAGCTTCATGACTGAACGGGACATGGAAGAGTTTCACACTGTATAAATGCACGTGGGTAAGAAGTGCACAGCTCACGTGGTGAATGGTGTCACAGTCCATTGCTAAGTGCACATATGCTGCCAGTACCCAGGTGTCTTTCCACACTCGTCAACAACTCACTGTAGTCACTTCATCACCCGCTCTTGAGTTCTCATCTAACAAAAATTATGTCCCATCTTCTCCCAAGAGACCTTTCCAAGACCTGGCAAGCAGAACCTCTTCCATAGAGACCCTGTGGATTAGCCATCCAGTCTGGACACCATCAGCAGGGATTGGGTTGAGCCTGTAAAATCTCTAGAGCAGGGCTTTTAACCTCATTTATCCTTACACAGCTCCAAGCACCCTGATGGTGCCTCTAAACACAATTAATAACCACCATGCACTGTGAATGGGCATATTAACTACTTTGATGCTACTACTCTAAAGGTCCTTTCTATCTCCCCGAAAACAGTCTCTTGCCCACATGGAGGTGAGACCATCCACTAACTGTTGCTACAACTCCTAAAAGCCATGGGTGCTGTCACCAAGCCAGGTCTGCAATGATGGCAGCATCTGGCTTGGTTTCAGCTGCACCACAGAGAGCCGAAATTCCCAAGAGCTCCCACTCCAGATGTGCATCTGTAGGAGTCAGCACCCTCAGAGCCTGGATCCGAGGCACCTCCTGTTGCGGCAGGCACAGACAAACTGAACAGACCCGGTGTCTTTAAGCGTTGTGGCCAAAGGCTCCAGCTCAGCTCTTACAGAAGCGTCCCTGAGGCCCATTTCCAACAAAAGCGTTACGCTCAGAGCTGAGCTTTTTGCAACCTGCTAACGGTGGCAGAGCTGGTGCAGATTGTTCGCTTGCCTTGTCCCCTGTGTCAGACCCAACTGTCACAAAACACAGCATGACAGTACTGCTGACGTCCAAGGGACTTCTGCCGCTGGTGCCAAGGGAGCAGAGCGGACCCGTCCGTGCCGACGAGCCCTCCAGGTGACCTGCAGCAGCGTCTGCCTGCGCCAGCCCCAGGGACTGTCCTAACAGATCAGCAGCGATCAGGTGAAGCCAGAGAGGGTCCTACCAGTTCTATGGTTCATCACCGCGGGCGTAGATCAGCCTGCAAGCGTTACTCTATCGCCTCTGCTTTGCCTTACACCTCCTGTCACTAAAGCTACTGTGGAACTACTCACAGAGCAAAGCAGTCACTACCAAAGACATGCTACGTGCATCACTCTGCAACATTCCTCTACTAAACACTACTTAACTCCCCAAACCCCCCTGAAATCAAAGCAGAGGTCCTGTTTGCTAGGCAGGACTCTGCAGTTGAACCACCCAGTAAAGGTACTGCACAGGGACACCCCTGGCTCGAAGAGCAGGAGGCCATCACCACTGAAGTATCCTGCGGGCTCTGTATTCCCCCTGCAGCACCCCATGACTGCAGGCAGCGTGTCCCACGCAGGAGGCTGCGCTCCCTGCACGCAGGCACAAGGAAAGCCAATGGCCCATGTGTTGCATGCAGCAACAGGGATCAGCCCAGAGCTGGGGGCTCCGAAACGGCC